TTATATCTTATTGCAATTTTAGGCCTTACGGAGAGTTGTGGTGGATGTTTTACGTCCATAGCCAACGTTTTCTCCATGATGGGAACTGTCGGAGTCCCAGTTACTACCATTGAAGCAAGGCTTGAGTCGGTGCCTGATATGGGGTATGATGCATTGTCAAGCACACCTCGTGGAGAGATTTGTTTAAGGGGTAGTACCTTGTTTTCAGGATACCATAAACGGCAAGATCTAACAGAAGATGTTCTCATTGATGGGTGGTTCCATACAGGTAAAACCAAATACTTCTGTCTATATTATATATGAATGGGATTATAAGGGAGTAACTTTCTCAATGTATTTTGTCCTTTGTCCCATTCATTTATCAAAAATTCACAATTATTTTCTTAATCACTCTCCATACCCATTTTCTCCTCCAATTTTTTTAGTGCATCTACTTAGCTAAACTTCTTAAGCTCTCTCTCCACTGAGACAAAATGATAGAAAACTGATCTTCATAATTATTATTAGGGACGATATTACAAAATTTTATGTGCTTGAATTCAACACTTGTCGGCTGAAGCCATTCAYATTAAAATTGAGATTCCGAATCACTTGATTTATTTATTATATTGGTACAACTAGAGACTTGATGTCATCCACATATTAGCATGTTTGTTATAAAGTCATATCGTATGTTAAAAACTTGTTTTCTTTAGGTGTGCAACCCGTCATCTGCTTTGTAGATTTCTAATCATCGTTTAACTTTTTCATTATCATTATACATTTTCACGCTTTACTCTTATCATTTTAATATTTGGCTTGTGAATGTAATTAGCTATTACTAGAAAATAACGCACATACATTACAGGTGATATTGGTGAATGGCAGCCCGATGGATCGATGAAAATAATTGATCGGAAAAAGAATATATTTAAGCTGTCTCAGGGGGAGTATGTTGCAGTGGAGAATATTGAAAACATATACTCGCAATGCCCTCTAGTTACCTCGGTAGGCTACTACTGAATAGAAATTGATTGTTGCATAAGTGGGATACATAAGATGGCGGTTTTTTCCTTTGGATGCTTTCTCCAAAGATCATATCATGTTTTATTTGCTCCTATTGGAATTGTCAATTATTTTTATTCATCTTTAAACATTTTAATTTAATCTATCCTCTACTTTTATGGCAAAAATCATTCCCGTGGCGCACAGATTTGGGTCTACGGAAATAGTTTTGAATCATTTCTCGTGGGTGTGGTGGTTCCTGATCAGAAGGCCCTGGAGGATTGGGCAATGAACCATAATGTGACTGGTGACTTTAAATCTCTGTGTGAGAACCTCAAAGCAAGGAAGTACATTTTGGATGAGCTCAACAGCAATGGTCAGAAGGGCCAAGTATGCACCTCATAGATGTTCAACTTCTGTTAGGATACCTTATTGAAAACACTTTGGTTAGCATATTATTGTTTATAGATCTTTATCTAACCCGGAAAATATTTGGCAGATTCGAGGATTCGAGCTATTAAAAGCAATTCATTTGGAACCATATCCCTTTGACATGGAGAGGGATCTGATAACTCCAACATTTAAGTTGAAGAGACCAGAGTTGTTAAAATACTACAAGGTATGAGTTATCCCACTACAGGATTAAATCCTTGGGCATTTCTGCTGTTTTTCTCTTTTAATCCATGCTTCTTTGCGTCTATATTGAATCACCCTCAGAGCATGACAAGTTTACTATATTTGAGTATTAAACTGTGCACTGTACAAGAACACCCCGGGATGCTGCTTGATTCAGTGTACTACCATGAATTCTTAATTTGTTGCTGATTTATTCTGTTGAAGCCCGATTGATCAATAGATTTTAGGGGCTGTATCTGAGAGTGTTGCCCACATTATCAAAAACATTTATACACATCTGTTTGGATGCTCTTCTTCTCTCTCACTCTGTCCACCCAAGCTAGCTAAATGAAGTAACATGTCACTTTCCAATTGGCTGTGATTCGAGACGAAGAGTAATTAGAACATGACTTATCCAATGGACTCCAAGATGTAGCTATAGAAACAGAAACCTTCCATAGAGCCCTCTATCCTTTCTTAATACAACTCCCCAAATAATAGCTTTCACGTTGTTACACCATAAAACTTTGCTCTCCTTCCTAAAAGGAAATCCACCCAAAAATTGAACGAGGAAGTCTTCCTGAGTTGCACTCCTAACAACGATAACGCCAAAACTATCCAAAAGAAGAGATGAATGCTTCCATGCAAAAGGGAAGCTGGCAAATGTGCATAGAGACTAATAAGAGAAAGTGCAAAATAGAAGCTAGAGAGAAAGTATGTATAGAGAGAGAAATCAGTGAAAGGAAGAAGTGTATGTGTATAAGAGAAGCCTAGAAAGAGATGTGCGTGTAAAGAGAGGCTAGTGAGAGAAAGTATGTGTGTTGAGAGATGTAAATGATGGAAGAAGTTAGATGTAAACGATGGAAGAAGTTAATGAGAAATTATATGTATAGAGAGATTAGTAGGGAAAGTGCATGTGAAGATAAAAATAAGTGAGAGAAGCTGATGCAAAGAGAGATAGATGAAAGGAAGTGGATGCACTAGAAAGAAGTTAGTGAAAAATATATAGAGAAATTAGCGATAGAAGGCATATAATTACATTAGCGAGAGAAAGTATGTAGAGAGACTGATGATAAAGCATAAGCAAAATGAGGTGATTTTGCTTTTAAGTTTTTTCAAAGTTGCAAAATTCTTTTAGATGTTTGGATTGATATTAAAAAAATGTTTCCCTCTTATTCTCTCTTTGAATTTCATCTGCAGGAGCAAATCGATCAGTTATACAAAGAGGCAAAAAATTAAAAGCCATGTCGAAAGTTTAGATGTACAGACACCAGACTGGCCACCCATCCTCCCATGATTTATTTTAGCATATTTGGAAATTCTAATAAAATAAGATAATTATGTTATAATTCGAATGGTGAGTTTGTCAAATTTTCTATTGGTTCTGTGGATTTGAATATTTCATGGAATAGATAATGTCTGTCTTCTTATAGTAGTTAAAATGTGGCTCTGAATCTAAATTTTGCACTTTTTTTTTTCTCCGAGTTCGATAATTCCTTTTAGGTGTGGAGTTGAACCATTGATCTTTGAGATGTTAATAGGCGTATTATTTACTAAATACTTGAATGGACTAAATTATGCATGTATAGTAGAAAATCTGCCATCGATGAGAATTTACAGTTGATATTAAGCATACCAAAAATTGAATCCCTAAATCTGTTTGGCATGTTTGAAAAATGTGCTTAGAACCATTGCTCTTCATCCTTATTGGGAATCATAATGTACCTTATTAGAATCATTCCCCTATATAATTTGGTTGAATAACCTACATTGCGATAGAGAAGATGACGATAATCCATGACAGATTAGAATTTGCCTAACTACTCTTAATAAGTAAATATATTTGAGTGATCATATCAATTAGATAGTCCTAGGATGGAATTGTAGTTGGAAAACTAGTCTCATTTAAGTTCGGTAGAGGGGAAGGATGCGCGCCACAGCACAAAGAAAACCAATATTAAAAAATTATACAAATGAATTAACCTAGACATAACTTAACTAGTTAAAGTATCTATCTTCAAGGTCAATAATTTGAATCTCTACCTATACGTATTGTACTCAAAAAAACAAAAAATGAGGTGGAGAATGGGATGAGATAAAAATAGCTCATTAAATTCAACCCGATATCCTATTACCTCCACGTGTGTTCTCTCTTGACCTGAACTCTTGACTCTTTTATGGAGAAAGTAGTTTTTCAAGTAATTAATGTGTCAACTTGATATAGCTCAACAGGTTCAGATACCTATCTCGATAAGTTCGAATCATACTTAANTAAAAAAAAAAAAAAGAACAAACTCGAACTCAACTCCATCTTATAGAGGGCCAAGTAGGCCATAGGTAGTTGTGTCCACTAACTAAGAAGAGTGGGCTCAGCTCAATTAGGTTCCCATCTCCATCAAACTTGTGGGATATGGTGGTCCACTTTAATCTAATCTCAATATCTTATCCTCTCAATTCTCAATCTTTTACTTTGCTTTGGCAGTGAGTTGAACACATGCATCTACAGGTAAAAGTTCAAATATCACTATCAATTATCACTCACAAACATGTTCTTTTGTGAAGTTTCAATAATGGAAAATGTGAAGCTACATCTAGGAATATTTGAGCACTATATTTCTATAACTAAACATATAAATTTGACGTGTTTGGTTGGCTATCCAAATTCTGTTTTTTAGATTCACTAAATCAAATGAATTCAATAAATAATAAATATGCATTTTGTAGATTTGTTTTTAAAAACTGTTTTTGAATTTTTGATCCAAATTTTGAAAACAAGATTTTTTTTTTCATTGTTTTCAAATTTTGAATCTAAAGCTTTAAAATGCATATTCATATTGAAAAAAAATAGAAACTTTTGATAAATATATTATTTCATATAAACCTAATCTCTAAACATTAGAACATGTAAAATTTTAAAAATTATATAATACTGTAAAAAACTAATTTTACAAATTTTATAGCATTTATTTAATAAATTAATTATAATATTTTAGATTGAAATAAATAAATATTTAGTATGTTTACAAATATATATTCTGAATCCCTTATTTTCAAATGATCGTAGTCCTAAAATTCCTGCATATATCTATTCCAAAAAAGCTATATAAAATTTTTGTCATGATTACATAACTCAGATAATTCTTACCTCCAAAAAATCAAAACCACAAATCATCCCACCCTTTGCTGAACTTGAAAAAAAGAAAAATGATTTGAAAAGCTGATTACTATCAAATGTTATAAAATTATATTTACAGGGACGGTCGTATTATTATTCTTTTTCTTAAATTTCTTCTATTTTTAAAAATTTTCAAAATAAATAATCTGTTCAATAAAAGATTTATCCTTTGATCTATATTTTCCCAAAATTCGGAATTATTTAGCAACACATTGACCCTTCAATCTTCAATCAATAACACAGGTACCACCACTGTTTAACATTTTGTTCCACAGAACAAGAAATGAAAGATAGATAAATATTTTATGAGAAGCTTCTCAATATAACTTTACACTGATGCAGCCTACAATACAACCACACCCAATTGGAAAAATTGAAAAAGTAAAACAAACTTCTACAACAAATTTCACAATTCACAAACAATTCAAAGACAATATATATATATATATATATATAATGCATTTGAAACTAATTCAAAGGAAACGAAGTACCAGTGCCCAGACAGGATACACAAAGATGAGGATGATTCCAATGGTGTTTGAAATGCCACTGGCTTTGGTGAAGGAGTTTCTGAATCCACCAGAGGCTCTGATGTGTTCTTGCAGCAAATAGCATGATATGACCAGACAGATTGCTTCTCCGATGGCGTCGCCCCTCACGGTGCTTGCAAATAACCCCGGAGCCACCACGACGAGAAGTATCAAAGCGCCGGGCAGTTCAAGCCAATCTGAATTTTCCCACAGAGAAATCAGAGAAATGGAGTGCAATAACTCAGATTGTTATCATATTTATTTATGCTTGCAAACTGAACAGGATATTATAACTCAACATGATATCAGAAACTCATGTGATGTGGAATTTCTATGAACTCAGCAAGTTTGAAGCAGTAAAACTGGATTTCCTCAGGACAAAAGAAAGCTATTAGATTGGAGTGTTATTTAAGTATGAATGAGGTTTGAGATGTTATTTTATTCCCTATACTTGGTGAATCAAATTATCTTGGGAATTGGAACACTAATGTGAGAGAGTTTTGAACATATATTAAATGCTTAAAGGTGTTATATTTTAACTAAGTTTTGGATCTCTTGATACTTTAATATCTGCCCCACTTTATAAGCTCAATGATGATGTTAAGTTTTGTTCGATATATTATACATATATATTTTTTTAAACAAGTTTTGTTTGATATTGATTTTTTATTATTGGTGAAAATTTTGAAAATGATAAAGATATGAATCTTTTTGCAAGTCCTGCTCTAACAATAGTTTTTTTCTATTTATAAACTTTTTGAGATTTGTTTAAAAGTTGAAAACTTGTTTGAGATGGTAAACTTTAAAAAATACTTTTCAGAATTAACATATAGTAAATAATATAAATAATATATTGTTGATTTCATGTGTTTTATTTGATTTTTTTCCTTCTAAATTAACCGTTCACATATGATTATTAATTATTTTTCAACTATAACTTATTTTAAAATTAATATAACGACTAAAGAAGAAATAAACGAAAACTTTTGAGAATAAAATATACCTTTCCAAAACAAATTTGAACATTGATCTACTTATTTTTTTTTTAAAAAAATGCAACCCATAGTTTTTAGAGAACTTTTTTTCTTTTAAATTAATTTTGCAGAGATTTCATAAGAACTTCTAAAAAGTGAAAAAAACAAATAAAAAAGTAGACTGTAAATAAACTTAATCTAAAAAAAAAAAAGAGAAAAGACCAAAAATTGGCAGAGAGAAAGACTAGTCCATGTGGGTAGTCATCCAAATTTCTCCCATTTTTTATGTTCTACCAAAAGGAAAACAGTAAGAAAAAGAAATTAAGCAGAACTACTAATGACTCTAAATCTAGTTCAACATAATATCAGTAAGCAGATTTTGTACTGTTTAAAACAAAAAAGTGAATTCAATAATATTTGTAAGTATTTTGTTGATTGTATTTTTGATTTTAGTTCATTTTGATCTTATTACTACAAAACCTCTATTTTGGAACCTATACTTTCAAAATATCTAATTTGATCCCTGTACTTTTGAATCTCGGCACTTTAACGTTTGATTTTGTAACTAGGCTCTTTAAAAACGACTATTTTTATCTCTTTATTTTATTTTTTCTTTACTCACAAATTTTTTTGAAATGATAGTCAGAAACTTTTTTATCGGTTAAATAAATGTAAAAATGTTCCCTTTTTAGGGGGTACATGGACAAAAATGGACGGTATGAAATATAAAACTAAAATGAACAAAAATGAAGATGAAAACAAAATGAATTGATAAAAATAGTTTAAACCTATCTGTAATAAAATCGAGCCCCGAAATTACCTGGGAATTGTTTGGGGAAGAAAAGACGCAGCACAACAGCAATGAAGGCGATCCATTTTCCAACATCTCCCCTGCAAGAGAAATAAATTTAGAATTTAGAGACAATAGAAACTCATTGCTTGGATTATTGTCCTAGAGTGGAGCTGGAGATGATCACCTGAAGAAACCAAAAATCACCCCGGGAAGACTGAAGAAAATGTACGGAATCAACAGTGATGTAAGGATATTCGTCTTCCAGTTCGTTCGATCCAAAACCAACAAATAACTGCACTCACAAACCCACAAAATCAAAAGTTCAAGTTGTAAAATACGGAGCCAAATCAAACGATCCTGAAAAACCTAAAGAGAAAAAAGCAGACGGCCAATCAAGCCAACGATTCACGGATCATTTGAAAAAATCAGAAGCACTTTTTGTCGCACGGATCACTCCCGTAAGCGAATCGTTCCCGTATTACTTAATCGATTTGACACGAATTAACAGAGACGAATTACTCCAGTTGAAAATACAACGAATCGCAAAGCACAAACTATTCCTATAGAATCGAAATCGCAGATTAGGGCTCAAAACGTCAATGGATAATCAGAAATGAAACAAACCACTACACCGGACCAGTAAGCAACAGGAAGAAAGCCAGAAAACAGCTCGTAAAGAGAGAGGAAGAGAGAGATTTACATAGCAGCAAACGAAGCAATCCACTGGAGGAAAGCAGCGCCGAAACCCGCGCTACCGAGCTTGACGGCGTGTGTAGCAAGCTTCTTAGCAGCATTACCGAGTTCCCGAAGATCAGAAGAAAGCAGATCTACGGCGTCGGAATCCGTCGTCATTTTCAAGTATCCCGGTTTCACCATCGCCGCACCGCCGTTTCCAAAAACCGATCCGGAGAAAATACAGAAGAAGAAGAAGAAGAAGAAGAAGAGCGAAGGTTTCGAAGCAGCGCAGAGGGACAGATGGGATTTTGACTGTAAATAAAGAAATTGAAGAAGATGATGATTGTGCTTAACGGCACCACGTGGACCTAATAATTGGGGGCCCACATTTTTAATTTCATAACTAATATGCCACGTGTCATTCTCGAGTTTTCTTTTTTACTTTGTAATTAAATTAAGTTAAATTTCCTCATTTTTTAATTATTATTTTGGTTACCGACATTGGAGGTCGACGAAAGGGAAGCTTGTAACACTGAAATTGCTTCTAATGACCTGTAATCAAAATATATATTATAATATAGTTTGCCTTTTTTTTTTTATGTCTATTTGATCCTTTTTTAATTTTTGCATTACAAAGTTTTTATTTAATAGTTCTTAATAATATGCAAATACCTACGAGCCAGCTGGTGAGTGAAATTCGCTGAAATAATGCTACCTATTCTTGAAAGAGTGAAGGCAACAAATTCGTGTCATTAACTTATACCTAATCTAGTTTAGCTATAAGTTTCTTTGGGAGCTTAGTCACTGCGCCATCTACATGGCTCTTTCTCCACAGTGTGCACCATTTGCAAGGTCGGCTTGGAATCACAAGCGCAAGCGCACATTTTTACCGCTTGCACCTATGCTTCTGCTTTTTAGAGGATCATTCTCAATTTATTTGGATGGTCCACAGTTCTGCCAAATGATCCCCTTATCTTGTTTGATGCCACTTTTGTCAGGCGCCCTTTCAAAAACAAAAAAGAATTGTTTTGGACGAGTTTTATACAAGCTTTTCTATCGACTATTTGGGGCGAAAGGAACCAACGGACCTTCAACGATAAACAACAACCTTTCGAGAGGTTTTTGAATGCTATAGTTTACAAAGTTGTCACTTGGTGTAAAACTTCTCCTATTTTCCACCACGTGTCTGATGTAATCTTTCTTGGACTTTTGTAATTTCACACATCAACGAAATTGTTTCTTATACTAAAAAAACTTATAGCTAATCTAGTTGAGTCAAATTCACTCGAATCTATTTGGCTTATGAATAACACACAAATTGATTGAAATCCTTAATGTAGTAAAAAAGAAGTTTAAATCATCACTCAAGAATACAAAATTAGAGAATTTACTCCCAAAAAAACTGCGAAGCTCCTTTTTCAGTGGGTTGAAGAAGCTAGCTAGTAGAAGAAGATGCTCCTCCTTTAACGGACGTTGAGTTTCCTCACTTTTCTTTCTAACCAGTCTATTATAAAAAAAAAATTGTGTCTAATAAATTTCTTGAGATATATTCTTTTAGATAAATTCAGTTTAAGTAAATTTAAGAAGTTTAGGTTGTCAAATATTTAATACTATTATATCAATTGATGTACTTTAAACTTATTTAAAATTCTATTTTATATTATTATTTTGAGTATAACAAGTAGTAGTGTGGATTTGAACTTACGATCTTTTGCTCGAAAATAAATACTTTGACAATTTGAGTTATGCTTAGGTTGATAATTTTTTTATTACTTTAAAATAGTTAACCAGTGTTCAAAATGTCGATGACGATGAAAATATCGAGGCCCCGATTTTACGGACATGTCGATGTCGATGGATATTTCGGGGAAAATAATGGAAATTGTGGAAATTGATGGAAATTTTTTGAATTAGCAAATAAAACTTGAATGATAGCTTAATTAGCTTATAATTGATCACCTTGTAAGAATATGACCATTTTACTTATGAAAATGTCGATGTTGATGGAAATATCGAAAAAAAGATTTTTTCCTTTGATGAAGATTGATGAAAATTAATTGAATATGTAAAGTAAACTTTAATTGTAAATTTTTGACTACTTGTATTTTTTATAATAGGATTCATTTGGAAATGAGATAATTACCGACTTGGTTTCCAAACGCATTTCTAAGTTCTAATTAACTCTAAATTCTAATTAACTCGTACCTGTTTACTTTTTACCTACGTTCTCTTTTCAAATTTGAATTTACACATTTTTCAAACACATTTTCAAATCAATCATCAATCCAACTTTCCAATTAAATTTACACAATTTTCAAACACCTCAACCTCGTGATTGTGTAATCCATCCAAATTATCTACCAATGTGATCCATATGTGCTTCATATTATACTCATTTGAGCAACTACCTTCAAAACTTTTAGTCTATGATGACTTGGGACAACTATTGTAATTTATATCAAAGTTATCAAAATAGTGCACTAGATCCTCCGAGATCATTTTTTTGGTATTAATTAAGTCACCTATTATACTTCATATGTTTCACCACTATTGTATATAATAATATTTTATTTTTTTAAAAATTCTAAGATTATTTCAATCTTTATATATGTCAATATTTCACATATATTGTTCAATTGTGTAACTAAGGACTAGATTGGATTAGAAATTATCAATAAAGCAAATTCCAAATCTTATTAGTTATACTTTATTCAGTATTAAAATTTGAATGTTTCATTTAATAGACTAAGATTGCAATCATCGATATTGTGAGAAATTATAGACTGTAGTGGCATAGTAGGAAGATGATGAAAATAAAATAACAGATGAAAAAAAAGAAAAAAAGACAAGGGGAGGAGGACAATATTTTCCTTTTTTTTCTTTTATTAATTTTATGAATTCTTTAACCTTTCTTTTTTTATTTTATTTTATACAACACGTGGGGATCGAAGTTTGAACTCATGATCTTTTGGTCAGAGATAGGTGTCTTAACTATTTGAGCTATGCTCGGTTTAGCTTCTTTAATCTTTCCTTAGTATAATGAATTCTTTAATTTACATCATAAATATTGTAGTCTATCTTACCATTTCTAATATGATAATAATATCATAAAAATACAATTCGAAATTAAAAATTCAAAATAATATAGACTTAAAATATCATAATCTTTTAATAGAAATACATGATTTTTTTTCTTTTCAGTTCAAAAAAATTATTGTCTAGTAGTATAATTTATATTACAATTTTAACTTGAGCAATAATATCACACCTAAGGTTCTTTTTATATAATTTAAAATTTAAAATATACTTATAAAATAAAAATACTAGTATTTTTGTTAAAAAAATTAAATGTAAATTTTAATTATTGATTATTAATTACTAATAATGTGAAGATTTATTATCTAAAAGAATAATTTGAAGGTTTAAATAAAAAGTAAAAAAAAGAAGTGGAAAAGAAATTAAAATAGATGAGAGAGGCCAATTTGGACATGTTCTAAGCTCCGCTTAAAGTCAACTCCATCGATGTTAAAGTATTGTGAATTGACTTTACTTGAACGCAATGTTAGATTAGTAACTTTATCTGTTTTTCTATTTAAAATTATCACCTACTTTGGTTGACTAAATGAGCATGGCAAAAAATCCTTCATTTTTATGTGTTTATAAGAAAAATAAAGGCAACAATTTCAAGTTCTTATCTTAGCTTGATTTTCGAGATTTTGAAATTAAAAATAATAACGCTTTTATTAAAATTGTTAGTTGATATGAGCATAATCTAATTGGATAAGACATCTATCTCCAATCAAAATATCGTGACTTAAATCTCTACGTCTCTTATGTGTTAGTATTTAAAAAAAAAAATTGTCAACTAACTATATTAGACTTTGAAAATGAGTGTTTCTTTAGACTTTGAAAATGAGTGTTTCTTTGGTATCAATTAAWTGTAAAGATTATATGTTTTTTTTAGTAATATTGGGATATTTTCTATCTGATTTGGTGCCCCTACGAGAAAAAATGGGAAATTTGAAATTTTGACCCCTCCAATAATTCATTTTGGATTTATAACCCCATTTTGAAAAAAACTAATCTATGACCCTACTCTTCCTTATTTATTAATAATTTCATAATTTTTAAATGTAAAATTACCGTAGTACCCTCATGTTTCAAAATCAACATCTCCCTCCACAAATCTCTTTACAAATCTTTATTCCCCACAAATTTCTCACAATAATTAATTCCAACCTTAAAAAATCTAACTTTTAAGAAAAATATCTAACTCAAATAATAAATTAAAAGTTTAATATGGAAAAAATAAAAAAACGTAGATAATTACATAATTTGTGCGAATTTAATTACAAAAAAGTCAAGATTACAAAAATCTCGGGACAATATTGCATTAAATGCTCAAGATTTAATTGATAACAATAGGCCCAGAGGGGAGAAAATGCAAAAAAAAAAATGTGGAATTTGGGATCCCGGACCGGGATTAGAGGATCCCGATCCGGGTTAGAAGGATCCCGACCCGGGATTGAACCATCCCGGACCGGGATTAGAGGATCCCGATCCGGGTTAGAAGGATCCCGA